CTGCTGGAGAAAAAAAGTATGTACAATTCAACTTTGTGTGAAGTGTTATATTTTCTAGTCAACATGTGTAACTACTTAGAACTATAGAACTTTTAGCATGATAATTATACTATTCAGCTAGTGAAGAATTACCAGATCACATAGGCAAATATTACTCACTACTCTGCTTTGTTTGACGGCATGCTTTTTCCAATGGGCAATTCAAATCAACTATTCTTTAAAATGGTTTAACAAGGAGCCATTTCCCAGGACCACTTACCCCTGTTTTCAGCTATTTGTAATTGGCCCTTGATATGGAAGTATTAGGTATTAAAAGGTGTTAGGTACTATACAGGTAGAAATTACAAAATGGCTTAGTGAGAAGCTCCACAAATACCTTCCTCAAAAAAGCAATGGCAAAACGAACAAAATTGCAAAAAAAAAATCACTTCAGGACTCTGGATATTGGCCAGAAAGAAAGAGAGAAAGGGGAAGGAAAAAAAATTGAAAATAATGGTGAAAACAATCACAAACGATGAAAAACATTAATGTACACATACAATAACTTTAATGAATTCCCTCTAGGATAAACACAAAGATATCTATACCTAAACATATCATATTCAAACTATTGAAAGCCACAAAGAAAATACTAAAAGCCACAAAAGAAAAATGACTTACCAGGTACAAGGGAACCACATTATACACAAAAGAATCACAGTGACTTCTCATCAGAAACAATGGAGGCCAGAAAACAGTTATAGGAGTAAGGAGTGCCAAGAATGTATTCGAAGTGCCAGAAGAAAAGAATATGTCAACAACAATTCTATATTTAGCAAAACTATCTTTCAAAAATAAAGGCAATGAATAAAGGATGTGAATGGATGTTCATCCAAAGAAGATATAGAAATGTCCAATAAGCACATGAAAAGATGCTCAACCTCATTATCCCTCAGGGAAATAAAATCCAACGGAATACCAATTCATTCCCACTGGGATGGCTGTTATCAAAGTCAAATAGTACCCTAGGGGATGATGGAGTTAGTGCACCATTAAAGACTTAAAATATGCAGGGGATAAGAAGTGGTGGTCCTCATCATATCTGTTTAATTCATCATTCCGGCCCCTGCAGACACCAGCTGGATCCTGGGGAATGAATTTACATCTCTGCAAACTCAACCACACAAAGTTTAACTTCACATGAAAGAGAAACAGCACTTCGTGAACCTCTTAGGGATCTGGAGGTAACATATTCCACACCTAGAAATACTTCTCTGTCCCATATACAGGGTGACAGAGAAGGCAACAAGCTTAGAAAGAGGCCTAGGGCAGGAAAGGCTCTGCAGCAATACCAGGCTATTGTGTGAGCAGCCTTGTTGCTTGGACCATATGATGTCTCATCTATGGCATCCAAGGTGTCTGTGGTGGGAAAGGATGCAGTGTGAGAATCAGGTCTCTGGGATTTGAGAGTAAGGCCATGGAATCTGAGACAGAGAATTATATTACTTAAAAAAAAAATAACAAAACATTATTGGTGAGTTACAGGACCCTGTTAGGCACCATTAACCTCATTTTGACATGCTGCTCCAGACCATTACTGAATAGCCCACACAACTGCCAACTGTCAGTTTTTTCCCAGAGCAAGAATACCCTTTAAAATATCTCTGGTCTACCATACACACTGTCTCCTCAGCATATCATATGATGCTTGAAGAGTCTGTGGCAGACAGAAATGATGCATGGAGTCTTCGGAAGGTCCTTGTCTGTGGGTCATAGTATACAGTCCATGAGCATTTTGGAGCATAGCTATACCACCTTCTGCAGATCACTAGTCTTTGGATAAAGTTTCTAGCTTGCTATTGACCCTAATTAAGGGTCCTCACTTGGTCTTTTCTGAGTCCTCCCCCTCAAAGTTAATAACTATCATGAATTCTAATATCAGAGAGGAGAATTCCATAGATTAGATGGTATGTGTGTGACCATGGGAAAACAAACAAGAAAAAAGGGGCAATTTGAAACTCCAGGAAAATAAAAAGCTAAGTAAAAAAGTAAATAATTATTGGAAATAATTTGCTTTCTTATGAATTTCCTCATTTTATAAATTGTCTTGTTCATATTATTCAGTTAGTTTCAAGACCATGACTTTTAACTTCTATGTTTGAATTACCTGTGGGTCTGCTTCTACCATCCACTTTTCCTTTAGTTTTGACTCTGGGTGTGCCTAGTAATTTTTGATTGAATACTACTGTGCATGAGAAATTGTAAAGGCTCTAGATGACTTGTAGTTTCTGACCTGAAATTATAGTATGGGCAAATAACCTTAACTCAGTTAGCTAATGAGCTAATTCAAAATGGGATATCACTCTTTTAAAGATTTACTTCCCTAAAACTTCCTAAGTAAAGGTCTTTAGAGGTTCCAACAGAAAGTCAGTGGTATTTCATCACTTGTGGGATCTGAACTTTTTGATCTCCTTGACAGAGCTTCTGAAAGCTCTGCTTAGTAGCTGAGGCACTTGGCTGCTGTGCATCTCCGAATCTGTCCCATGCCTTCTACAAGTAAGTGAGCTCCTTCTGGGAAAAATTAACTCCACCTATTGGGCTTATTTCTCTTCACTTCTCTTGTCTCCACAATCTTGCCACTCAAGTCCCACTGTCTTAGCTCAGGGTTCCCTTGGGTCCTAGAAGCCAGCTGCAGTTTCTTGCCACATAGGCTTCCTCAACATGGCAAGCTTTCTTCATCAGGATAGCAAGGAAATTTTCTTTCCAGTCTAATATGATGGAGTCATAGAATGTAAAATAGTCATTGGAGTCATATTCCGTCACCTTTCCTATAATCCATTGGCTAGGAGCAAGTCAGCTCTGCCTACACTCAAGGAGATAGAATTATATAGGGCATAAATCACTGGAGTTACCTAGGGTGTGCCTGGTACAACTGCTGACAACAGGACAAGGAGAAGAGGGGAATATAAGCATTCACAAATATCACAGTGAAAAGAGCTTTCTATTTGGTGTCAGAAGTCAGTTTTGATTCATTACTTTGTGGTACTTTTGACCATTCACTACATCTCTCCTCACCTGTAAAATTTGTTAGCTGATAACTATGTCACAGGATTTGGTGGTTACAGATTAAAGAACTATGGAGATGCTTTTATTTTTATCAAGAAAGTAACACTCATATACTAAAATCACAGGAAACCTATTCTCAAGATGCAAAAGTACATGCTTAAAACCATAGGCTAAGACAATCACATGGAAAATGAATAGAGTGTGTGTGTGTGTGTGTGTGTGTGTGTGTGTGTGTATATACACACACACACACACACATATATATATATATGCATCTTCTTATACATGTATATGAAAATGAAGTCATTTTAAAGAGAATGATGTCATATATTAAAGACAAAGATGAACCCTGACCGAGGTGCCTTAGTTGGGTGGGCGTCATCCCACAAAGCGAAAGGTTGCCAGTTTGATTATTGATTAGGGCACATGCCTGGGTTGCAGGTTGGTTCCTGGTCAGGGCATATAGGAGAGGCATCATACAAGAGGAAGCTGATCAGTTTCTCTCTTACATTGATGTTTCTCTCTTTCTCCCTCCCTTCCTCTCTCTCTAAAATTAAGTAAGTAAAATCTTTTAAAAAGACAAAGATACATGGGAAAATCAATGGAAAGTAGAATAAAGTATAAACAAAATTAAGCAGGTAATTTTATTGGTAGTTTCTGGGGACTACATTTAAAAATCATCAATAATCCCAATACCCAAATGATAACTTGCTTAATAATTTGGTGTATTTCCTTCCTGGATTTTTTTTCTCTGTGTCTACCTACATAAACACACACACACACACACACACACACACACACACACACACACACACAGAGCCCTAAAAGTAGATATACATATAATACAAATATGTTTACTTATATATGTGCATATAATTTTACTCATCATAAAACTGTTATATTTCTATTATCCAGGATTACTGATATCCATCCTCTCTGTATTTTTTTTACAATGTAACTAATGTACATTGTTGTATAATCTTTTTTCCCCTCACTTAACAGATTTCCATGACATTTCCCACCCAAAAAAGGATAACTCTTAATTGGTGCATACTATTCCACCTTTTTGATATAGTTTTAATCAATGGTCTATTATTGGATATTCAATTTTGTTTGTTTTGCTATTTTAAATAATATTGCTGTGATACACTGAAAATTAAAAATCTTTTATTGCCTTATGCAATGAGGCATAAAATGTAACCATAAAATGATTATCCTTTCTTAAAAGACAAAATATTAAGTTGTAAGCACTGTTCCTAAGCAAGTTGTGTTACAGCTTACTATATATGTCTTTTCTGTAAGGGGTGCAATTCTGCTCTGAAGATGATACATATGTTGGAGATCTCCTGTTTGAGCTCCTTTCAGGGATCATGCTGATTTGTCTTCTCTCTATTTAAGAAATAAACTGGGAGTTGCTCTAGCTAGGATTAATATTTTATGTGTTATTATACTTTTCTTTTAAAAATGCCATATTCTATTCCACAATAAATATATCTTAATGTTATTAATGACTGCTTCTTTGTAACCTCTGCACCTTTCCCACAAAATGTTTGGTACAGAACATGGAACATATTTCTCTCATACTTTATAATACAGTTTTATAAACTCATTAAATTGTTAGTTTTTCCTCAGCATAAATACTCTGATAAGCAATGTTAAATTCTCTGTAAAGGTTTTCCCAAATCAAGACATTTGCAGTTCTGTCCCTTTTGAATTCTTTTATATACAATTTGCCATGCACGTGTAAGACTTCTGTGCAAAAGCATATAATAAATGTGATCAGATTTCTGATCACATTTATTATATGCTTTTGCAATTCTACTTTTGTGCTTTAAGTTAAATGAACATTAAATAATATATTAAGAATTTCTGACATTGTTGGCCTTTAAGTGTTACTTACCAAGATGAATTGATAGGTACAAACTACTAGTGATATCATTCCACTCTCAAGTGTATTAAGAGGTTTTATCTCCTGAGTGACTTCTCTGATGTTTAATAAGAGTTGATTTCCCACTGAAGGCTTTGCCACATTCTCTGCATTCATAGGGTTTTTCTCCTGTATGAGTTCTATGATGAACAATGAGAGTTGATTTCACACTGAAGGCTTTCCCACATTCACTACATTCATAGGGTTTTTCCCCTGTGTGAATTCTCTGATGTTTAATGAGAGTTGACTTCCTACTGAAGGCTTTCCTACAGTCACTGCAAGCATAGGGTCTCTCTCCTGTATGGATTCTCTGATGTTTAATCAGTGGAGACTTCTCACTGAAGGCTTTCTCACATTCATTGCATTTGTAGGGTTTTTCTCCTGTATGAGTTCTCTGATGTACAATAAGGGTTGATTTCTCACCAAAGGCTTTCCCACATCTTCTGCATTCATAAGGTTTCTCTCCAGTATGAGTTCTATGATGGACAGAGAGGTGTGATTTTCCACTGAAAGTCTTCCCACATATGCTACATTCATAAGGTTTTTCTCCTGTGTGAATTTTCTGATGAACAGAGAGGTGTGACTTTCCCCTAAAGCTTTTTCCACATTCACTGCACTCATAAGGTTTCTCTTTTGTATGCATTCTCTGATGTTTAATGGGGGTGGGCTTCTCATCAGAGGCCTTCCCATGTTTACTGTACTCAGGTTTCTCACCCATATGAGTCCTTTGATGCATAAGGCTGGACTTACCGCATTTGATACTATCATAAAAAGCTTGTCTAATATGTGTTTTTTCATGTCGAATAAGTTGGTATGAACTCCTGAAAGCTCTTGAACATTCACCACATACAAATGGTTTCTCTCCTGTATGAGTTCGTTGATGTTTTATCAGAGTTGACTTTTGGATAAAGGTTTTCCCACATTCATTGCATTCATAGGGCTTCTCCCCTGTATGAGTTCTCTGGTGTGCAATGAGGGTTGACTTCTGGCTGAAGGCTTTTGCACATTCACAGCATTCATAAGGTTTCTGTCCAGTGTGAGTTCTCTGGTGTACAACAAGGTTTGCTTTCTGGATAAATTCTTTTCCACAGTCAGAACATTTATAGGGATTTTCCCTGATTTGAATTCTCTGACTTTTAATGGCTTGCTTATGGTGGATGGCTTTTCCACATTGATTAGGTTCAAAGAATTTTTCTCCAGGTTGAGCTTTATCAAGATTAGAATGGAAGCATAATTTCCACAATGTGTGACATTCATGATGTTTCTTTCTCAAATAGCTTTTATTTTGACTAAGAAAGTTTAAATTATGTTTTGAACATCTTTCAAATGAATAATATTTAAGAAGTCTTTGTTTTATTGAAACAAAGTCTGTGCTGGGATAGACAATTTTTCTGCATGTTCTTAATTCTTGGTCACTTTCATCCTTCAGTATTTCCTTGTCTATAAATGTAGCTTGCCAAAGAGGTTTATCTTGGCTTTCCTTGTGGCTATCTTTTTGGTTATCAAGTTGCCAGAATGCTAGAGGGGAAAAAAGAAATAAATCATCAAACTTGTAAATGTTTTTACTATAATGTTCTGGGATAAAATTAATTCGCAAACATCCTGTTGAGAATTCCTTCCTATCAATAAACATGAGCTGATGTGGATGGACCCTGTTTATGCTCCACCACCACCACCACAACCACCACCACCACTACCACCTTCCCTAACTGAAAATAAGAAGAAATGCTGGCTCATATTTAATAAAAATAATTTAAAACATAGTCAAGCTCAAAATCAAGAAAATAAATTCATTATGTGCCAAATGTGAACTGGGCATTCAACGTGGTGATATGAACAAAAACTGAAGCTTGAGAATTTGCAGAGAAATACAGAGCACAGGGCACAAATGTTCAGTAATGTAAATTACACTTAAAGCTGGAATCACAAGAGGTTCCCATGCTTGTTTAAGAGGAACTAGAAAGACTCCCCATTAGTCAAGGAAATTGGAAATATATATAATCATAATATATATATATGATTGTAATATATATAATATATATTATATTATATATTATATAATATATAATATATTATATTATATATTATAATATATTATAATATATTTATATTATATATAAATATATGCAATCATATATATATATATATGTATATATATGATTGTAAACCTAGTTCTGTTACCCAACCCAAATGATTGTCAGTGTAGTACAGAGATAACAAGCTGAAAAGTTAACCTAAAAGTTGGTAATATTATTGGTATGTTCCTAGCAATGGTAAACTTTCCAAAAGGTATATTCTTATGTTTTTACAGCTTAGGGCTCACAGAACATCTATGAAAAACCAATTCTCACTGAAGAGCTCCAGTAAGAAATTAAAAACCTCACAAGGAAATAAATCATCATGGGACAGAATTAGCAGATACACTTAAAGATACTCATACATTCATAGAAGTGTAGCTAGTAGAACCATATGGACTTTAAAATAAATACATTTGAAGCATACAAAGAAATCAGATAAGAACTGGAGTATGAATGTAAAACAGGAAGTTTTTGGAAAAAGCAAATATAAATGTAAGTGAATATACAGGTGTTTAAAAACACTAGAGAGGTTAAACTAGTCACAGATACATACAGATTTAATGAATTAGATCGTAGATCTTGAGAAATCACACAAAATGTAGTATAAAAATGAACAAAATGGAAATATGGTAAGAGAAATAGAGAAATGATGAGTTCCAACATAGGTTTAATGTAAAATCCAAATGGAAGAATAGAGAAAAAAGGAGAGGGGCAATATGCCAAGAAATAGATTAACAGAGAAGCCTTGAGAGTGCTACACTTAGAAAGACATGCTTGAAAGTTTGGCCCTTGGCTGACATCTGGGAATTTGGAGTTCAGAAATGTCCCCATTTATTCCCTAACTGATATGGCTGTTTGTACAAACAATGTGATTTATGCTGAACATTTTCTTTCCTTCTGGGAGACTGGTATTTTGGTATGTGCTAGGTCAAGTTTGTCTATCTGACCAGCCTCCAACAAAAACTGATGGTGGTAAGTCTAAAGGGCTTCCCTGGGCATAAACATCACACAGGTTGTTGAATTTTCACTGTTAAGAGAAGTGTGCCCTATTGTGACCCTTTATGGGAGGGGAAAGCATAAGGAATCCTGTGCATGACTTCCTAGTGTGTCTTTTTCCCTTATGATCTAGTTGTATACACTCACTATATCACTGTAATAAATATTAGCGGTAAATACAACTCTATGCTAATTCCCTTGACTCCTCCTCAAGAATCTCTGAATCTGGTAGTGACCTTGGGGACCCCTGATCTAGGCAAAAAAAAAAAAAGCCAAAAGATAAAAGAATATTTTCAAAGGCCTGAGAGAAGTTGTCATCTTAAAACTCTGTCCCTAGATAAATAATTGCAAAGAAAGATGCCAAATGAAGACTTTTTTTTTTTTACAAGAAAAGACAGAAAATTTTCTACAGCCTGGCTAAGAATAATGCTTGGTATCTGAAATATTCACAAGGAAAATGGCCAAAGGGGAAAAAGGAAGAAAAGAAAATCCAACAAAGGCAGGACAAAAAAAGAGGTAAGAGGTAAAGAAAAAGCAGGATATATACAAAACACAGTAAAAGAAGAAATACAAATATAGTAATAGCACAGTAAATAAATATTAACTAAAGGCCAACCATATTAAATTACATTTTTAAAAAGTCAGCTCTTGGGTCCATGATGGCAGAGGAATAAGTGGAAGCTATGCTAACCTCCTCCCAGGACCAATCTGGAATTACAACTAAATTGTACAGAAATGATCTTGAATAACCAAGTGAACACTAGACGGAGAGAAACCTTACAACCATAGACAGATAGAAGAAAATGCTTCAGCACGAAGTGACTGGTAGAGAGTGTGGAGAAGACACAAAAGGGCTGGCTGGGATCCCACAGGTGGCATTTGAAGGCCAGAGGGATATTTCAGCATTTGGTTCCCTCTGAGCAGTATGGGGTCTAAAACCCAAGCTGGGCTCCCAGCCTACAGCACCAGAGCTAGAAAGGAATCCAGATAACATCCATCTGTGAAAGCAGCAGGGGTTCTGTTGACCAGGGAGAGATGACTAGAGATGCCAAGAGCCTTTTAAAGAGCCAAAGCACAAAATTTTGTTTGCAATAACTTACCCTGGGTGATGGCAAGGGGAGGGCAGAGTGGACTACAGAAGGTTATGGAGACTCTGGGGTTGGTGGCTCTGGGGAGGGAATTGAGGGAACAGCCTCCAGGGTCCACGTGCTGAGTAATTCCCCATACTGCAGGAGATATCCCTCTCAGGCAGAGCACTCCTCACTGAATGGTATCAGCCTGAGGGGAAGCAATAGTCCTGCCTGCAGGAAATACTCTGGTATACCCTGTGGTCCTTAAGCCTGACTGCTGATTACAGTTTGATGAGATTAGCAACTGATCAGTTTAAGCTGACTAGCTTAATATCTAAGGTGGTAAATACAAAGAAGCAGTCAAAATGGGAAGACAAACAAACAGACCCCAAATAAAAGAACAAGAGAATTTTCCGTAAAAAGAGCTAAATAAAATGGAGACAAGCAATTTATCAGGTACAACGTTCAGAATAATGAGTATAAGGATACTCAACAGTATGAAAAAAGACATAGAAACCATAAAGAAGGACCAGTCAGAAATAAATAACTCAATATCTGAGATAAATAATACACTGGAAGGAATAAACAGTAGGTTAGATAAAGCAGAAGATCGAATCAGTGTTGTGGAAGACAAGGTAGAAAAAAACAATCAGGCAGAACAACAAAAAGAAAAAAGAATTTTAAAAAATGAGGAGAGCTTAAGAAATATCTTGGACAACATGACGCATAATAACATCTGCATCATGAGAATACCAGAAGAAGAGAGTGAGCAAGCGATGGAGAACCTATTTAAAGAAATAATAACTGAACATTTCCATAATCTGGTGAAGGAAAAAGTTGCACAAGTCCAGGAAGCTCAGAGAGTCCCAAACAAGCTGGACCCAAAGAGGCCTACATCGAGACACATCAAAATTAAAATGACAAGGTTGAGGAACCAAGATGGCAGAGGAGAGAATGGAAGTCACACTGACCTCCTCCCAGGACCAACCTGGAATTACAACTAAATTGTGGAGAAATCACCTGGAATAAACAACTGAACAAGATCGAGAGAGGAGCCTTGTAACCTCGGAGACAGAAGAATCAGCTTTAGCGAAATTCTTCTTACCTAACTGGTAAGGAGTGCAGTACAGACCTGAGAAGGCAGGCGGGGCGCCCATGGGCGGCAGCACCAGAAGGATATTGAAATGGCCAGTTGGATCCCCCTGAGAAGAGCGGGGTCTAAACCAAAAGTGGGGATATCTAGCCTACAACACCAGAGCCCAAAAAGTACACAGATAACAGCCAGCTGTGAAAAGCAGCAAGGTTTCTCTCTGCCAGAGACAGGCAGCTGGAGACACAAAGAACTGTTTAAAGGGCCAACACATAAATTTTTATCTGCAGCCACTTGCGCTGGTCTCCGGCAAAGTCAGAGGCAGAGTGGGCTAGAGGTACCTGAGGAGAGGCTGGGGAGGGAGGCTTTGGGGAGAGAACTGAGAGAATAGCCGGCGAGATCCCAGTGCGGATTCCTCCCCCATACGCACCAGTGTCAAAGGACCCAAAAACCCTGTCCCCAGGAGGGACTACGCCCCGCCATGAGCTGTCTAAGGAGGCCAGCTGAGTGCAGATTGACTAGATTAACAGCTGAAGGAGATAGCACAGACAGTAGATTACCAGAAGTCTTGAACAAACTGCCTAAGGTTAGACAGGGTCAACATCTGACATGATCAGAGGGCAGATCCAGAAAGTAAAAACAGCAGTCTCCAACCACATAAGTTCACACCACAAAATCAGGAAATCAAGACAGATCAATTAAAGAAGCACAAGCAAAAAAGAAGAGTCTCACAAATAAAGGGAAGACAAAGAAATATGCCCCACTCAGGGCAAAGGAGGAATCCCCACAAAGAGAACTAAAAGAAATAGAGGCAAGTAAACTATCAGATATTGAGCTCCAAACAATGGTTCTAAGAAAGCTTAATGAGCTCAGTGACCTCAGAGAAAATTACAAAAAGCTACAGAGAAACTATGAGGACCTTATTACAAACTATATCAGCATGAAAAAGGACATAGAAACTATCCATAAGAGACAAGAGGAAATGAAGAATACAATTTCTGAATTGAAAAACACAGTAGAAGGAACCAAAAGCAGGCTAGATGAAGCTGAGGGCCGAATCAGCAAGCTGGAGGACAAGGTAGAAAAAAGCTCCCAGAAAGAGCAAGAAAACGAAAAAAGACTCCAAAAGAATGAAGAGGCATTTAGTAAAATGGAGGACAACATGAAACATAATACTGTCCGTATAATAGGGATACCAGAAGGAGAAGAGGATGAGGAAGGGATAGAGAACCTGTTTGAAAAAATAATGATGGAAAACTTCCCTAATTTGAGGAGAGAAAAAGT